GTAATGCTTATTATGTTTTTATATCATTTTTGTTTAATTATTTCGTTTATTCGTAACAGTCGTGTTGTGTTCATTAGGAATTGCATTTAGTAATTGAGTTACTATATGCCCATATTCTCTTCGAATGTAAACAGGGTCGGCGCGACACGTATTTGCAATTTAAATTATATAATAAAAGCGATTTGCTTACAGTTAGACAACAGATAGTCTGCATGGTATCAACCTTCCGTAGACAAAGCCAGCCGTGAATTTGATAACGGAGATAGGAATTATTGGTGCATTTAAGTTACCAAAAAAGTTTGTAATGAAATTGTCGGGTAGTAGTAATAATGATTACCAGTTAGATCTTTAATAATTTCTCAATTAAAGCCAATGGATAATCATGCTTTGTAGTTTTAACACACCCTTAACACTTTTCTTCGTTCAAAGTTATTATAATTTAAACTACCGCGCAATTAGTAAATACGCTGTTAGCAGCTAATCTCAATTCGTCATGTTGCTGTGATAGCATTCAGATAGCAATGTTAATAAGAAAGGTGTTGACACCATATTCCGCAATATACCGAGTAAACAATAATCATCGTCGTTTTAGAAAATCAATTGATAAGATTGCATTCAAGCCAATTATTTCTATAAGCACATACTATTTATCACAATGGTCACACCAACTTAATTTAAAACAACGAATATGCTTGAGATATTAAATAACAAAACGGCTTGCTGCTATAATAACAAACCAACTTTATTATTGTTGATGTTATAAACTGTGTATACAAAGTGATTCGACTTGAAGGTGAATCCCAGCGATAACCGATAAGTATTTGCTCTAAAGTATCCCGCGTGGCTTTTAATCAATTAATACGAAAATTAAGCAGACATAATAATGATTTTTATTTGTTGATCATCTTCCTCTTCTTCCTGTAGACTTCGTTTTAAGAATTTAGAATTTAAAAATATAATGTCTATGGTTTGAACGGAAACATTTCTATTTTGAAATCTTTGATCGATTCGACCACAGCGTTCACAATTACACTTACCAAGGACCATCGTTTAAGTTGTATTTGTTTACTGATAAATAGATATATGTAAGATAAGCGTTAGTAGCGTATGTGCGGACTAGTCTACGACTGGGACTAAACATTCACTACGAACTTTCACGCGTGTTTAATCGTAAACAATCTCTTTTGTAGCTTAGCCGGAATTTTTACAAATATATTTTTAATATTAGACAGGTGAACGGACTCTTGACCCGNCCATCGTTTAAGTTGTATTTGTTTACTGATAAATAGATATATGTAAGATAAGCGTTAGTAGCGTATGTGCGGACTAGTCTACGACTGGGACTAAACATTCACTACGAACTTTCACGCGTGTTTAATCGTAAACAATCTCTTTTGTAGCTTAGCCGGAATTTTTACAAATATATTTTTAATATTAGACAGGTGAACGGACTCTTGACCCGCGTTGAGTAGTATTAGCATAGCCCATAGACATGTCAACCGTAAATTCTGCCATTTCTTATGTTTTCATATAATTCCATGAAGTACAAAGGAGTGTAACCAGAAAGGAGTACCCAGTGATCAAACTATTAATGTTAAGTGTGCGTACTTGTGCTGCATCATGTGAACGCACATAGACAACATCTTAAGAGAAAATGTCGTCTACATTTAGTCCAGAGAATCTGGTTCCTCTGTGCACCATATGAAATGTTTATAACGTACTGCTGTCATATCTTTGAAGAGCTGCGGAAGTCCAGAAATCTAATACAACTCGTAGTATAAAGCCCGTAATTAATCAAACAAATAAGTGTTCACTCAATTGTTGAAATTTGATCACTATGTCTGATAATTTAAGATTTAGATTCATTTTATGTTGTTGTATTCATGTTGTTTGGCTATTGACAATTTTCTCAAAAAGTTGGCCAAAAAAGACTGAAACATGCCTTTTCCCGGGACAGGGTGTTATATATGCCCACATACTACGTTTTACGAACAAACTTTCGCTTTTACCGTAGCAGATATACTACGCGCAGTCCGGATCACCATCGTTTGCTACCTAGTATGATAGAAAATATCATTTGTGTTGCTCTGATTTATAAGCTGTAATGAACTGTCATTAAAATCAGTCGAGTAATATTTGCTTGAAAGAGTAGCAGACATCCATTCAGTGCTGTGGATACTTTTCGCAGCAACAAGACAAAATATAATCCGATATTTTGGTACGCAAAACATTTCATTGAAATATCCACAGTACTTTTCACATGACGATCGAGAGAACAGATATACAAATAGATTACAAAATACTTAATTGAACAAACACAATTCAGATACAGTTTCTATTATGCTATTAATTAATCGGTTTTATATTAAAAGGACAAGCGAAGAACGTAGATCTTGCCTATGTAACTGTGTCAGTGTGATTATTTCAACTCCTGCGTAGATGGGTTGACAAGCTAACGACGCACCTGATGCTAGGTGGTTACAAAAGTTCGTAACCGGCAAGAAAATAAATAAGTAAGAGTGCGGTCTATACTTGTACAGAGAAATTAGCTTTGAGTTTTTCATGATAACAGTTTAGAAATCCGGTTATCACGGGACATGCTGACTTGTATCACTGGTTTAATGAAGTCACTGCCTATCTCTGTTATTCCTGTAGGTAGATAATTCGAAGCCCGTATTAGTGGGCACACTTATCCAATCTTGCCGGAACCACGACAGTTAGACCTCACGTCTCAAAGTCGGTGCCCGCATTCATGCTTTGATCTATGTCTTGTTAACGACTTAATGTCAGATGCCCCGTGAATCCTTACAGCTACATATCATTCTCGAAGAGCCCAATTCATGCCAATAATCAAGTTCGTCGCGAGTTCCTATGCAAGCCAATATAAAGGTAGTCGCGTATCAGTTACCTTATCTCCGACTGCCAACATATCCTTGACTTCAAGGAGACGTTTGTCGCCATCATGAAGCCAACATACATAACATATTTCAGGTATTTAATTAATAACGATGTTATTGACATTGACTATAGAAAACACATTGTGTTTTTATTCTGTATTTATTCTGAACAAATTAGTAGTATTTTTACTAGCTTCCCACCGTGTCCTAAACGCAAAGGCTTATTCGAGTGACAGTGTGACAAGATTTGTTTATTAAAAATTTTCCCCATTATTTGTTATAAATATGAATCCATTTAAATTAATTTGATACTATTTTTCACAGCTATCTTAAAAGTTAGCTTAAAAATGAATCTTAATAATCATATGTTTAAGTCGGTTTCGAATTTAGCCGTTTTCTTATTTATATTGTGAAGATATGTTTCAATGAATGTAGAAAAACGAACAAAAGGATTGTTCATTTTATATAAATTATCGAATATTGACAAAATCTCTAATTTGATTAAGTGATTTGTGTCAGATATATTACATCGATTTGTCTATAGCAAATAAATATTTCACAAACCTTATCAGAGTCAAGATCGTATTTAAAGCGGTACATAAAAGGACAGACCCTTGAAATAAGCGCGACTCATCCGTTTTATTAACTCGTTTACACTTGACATCAATAAAGAAAGAATTAACAACAAACCTTCTTAATATCATATTTAAACATAATCTAAGAAATATTAATAATTCTTGTTTTTTTTTCGAGTCAATTCAAACTACATACATAGTTGTTCTGAAAACTTTCTGTACGCATTGTTCATTCAACGCACGCGAGTAATTTCAAGTAAGGTGCGTATTTCATACTAGACTATTATTTCGCAATTGTTGTAAATTGTTATTAGACTTTTTGTCTATTCGTCCGCGCGTTTGATAGAAATCTCAGCAATGGCTGAATCGAATTCGGTATGATTTTTAGTGGTATATTGAAGAAAGTTCTAATGTATTGAAGTCTCGTCTTTAATGTATTGAAGTCTCCGAGCATTTGAGGAGGATGTTATGATATAACAGGGAACTTTTTGTGGAAAAACTTATCCGAAAAACTTGTGACGAATAATATACGAATAATATATATCACCAAACTTACAAATTACTCGTTAAAACATAATATATGTTCCTGAATTTTCTCATTATTCACATTATAATACTAAAACTCTACACATTATTTTACAGCAGGTAAAAATCCGTTATCTGCTTATGACCTGGTACTAGCGAGAATCTGGACTCTGGGGCCCTGAGATATTTGTCATGAGTAGCTTAACGAATGGATCTGGATAAGCTTTCTTGATAACTTAAAAGATTGTGATAATGAAGTCAACCGGATTGTGATATATGTAACATATTATTATACGCGTATGATATCACAGGACGCGGTCAAGGCTCGTAAATAAGTCTATTTATTGATGTTTTTATTGGCAATTATGCCTCAGTTCAGTAGAATTATCTATTGTAGAAAACTACACGTGTCGGTGTATTGTTTGTAGACGTACAGTAATCTCGACAGCAAAACCATATAGCATTCTCGTGCTCGCTTCATTTGTTTGAAAGAATTGTAGCACGTGTGTTCTTGAAGTGAGGAAATATGTAAATACGTAATATATAATAATATGTAGATACATTGAAAGAGCATGAAAAAGTAAAAATAATTTCTTCATTCATTGGTAGGTAGTTCGGATTGACTGGTTTGACTTTAAGTATTCTGTGAGGAAAATACACAATTGAGTGAACTTGGCTGAGGACCGCAAATCAGGAGTGAGCATAATGATGAAGGGAAATGAAAAGATTAGATCTGTTCTGTACAATTTCATGCTAAAGTTTGGGCAGATTTTTCATATTTTTATTTCAATAGATATTAATTAGTTAGTCTAACTTGGTTAGGAAAATTTTCTTATGAAAGTACAACATGCAACATGTATCTACTATTTTAATTTAATTTTGACACAGATAAATTCGAAAAATGGCACACTCACTTTTGAGGGAAATCTGTTTTTTTTTTGAATATTTTCTGATAACGAAGAACTATTTTACTTAAGCTAGCGCTTGGAATAAGATAACTCACCTGAACTTTCCTAATGCGTAGTCTTCCCATTTGATGATGGACGGGCAGTATTTGGGATCGAACAAGAGATTCCTTAAGAACTCCGGCACGGAAACGCTTCTCGGTCGCTTTATGGATGTTTTCCGGCCGCTGCCCCGCGGTCTCCCCGGTGGCCGCTTCGACATTTTCCTCTTATCATCCTCGTCTCCTGATTTACTGACGTCGCTTCCATACGAGTACTCCGGGGAGGCTGTCTCCTCAGACCGGAAAACATCTTCTGCGTCATCACTGGAGTCGCAAGGTCCTTGCAGTAATGTCTGGTCGTTTGGTTTGTAATCTGAGGCGTACATTCTGTTTTTGTGGTCTGCGGCGTCTAGATCTAGCATGGTCTGCTGCTCGTGATGGTAAGGCTCACTTTCCGCATATCTAAATATTGAAGATTGTCTGAACATATCTTCATTTAGTCTAGTGTGGAGTCTGTCGAAAATGTTATCTCCTATCTTCCTTGAAGCGACANGCAGTAATGTCTGGTCGTTTGGTTTGTAATCTGAGGCGTACATTCTGTTTTTGTGGTCTGCGGCGTCTAGATCTAGCATGGTCTGCTGCTCGTGATGGTAAGGCTCACTTTCCGCATATCTAAATATTGAAGATTGTCTGAACATATCTTCATTTAGTCTAGTGTGGAGTCTGTCGAAAATGTTATCTCCTATCTTCCTTGAAGCGACAGGGTCCATGCTTGGATGGGCCATCCGCTGGACGAAGTCTTCACGCTTCATGTTCCGCAGATCCAAGCCAGTCACTCTGTAGTTAAAGAACGGTATATCGTATTCACTGATGCCTATGCTCTGGGCTGTGTCGACTATCCACGAAACTGTATCATCTTCGGTCCAATCGACCACCACTTTGTACTTCCAATCATCTCGGTGGTACTCTCTGCAGCTGACGAGGGTGTGGTAAACATTGGCAGCATTTTCAATCTCAGGCTCTTCGTACGCGTCGTATGAAGGATTGGAGTAGTAGTTTCCGTATATGTGAGAAGCGTTTCCTCTCCTGAAGACTTGGAAGTCGTCGAGGCGGGTGGGCGCTGAGGTCGTCTGGGTGTAGTAGATGTCGCACGTGCTCTGCTCGAAGGGGCGCGCGTAATCAATCATTTTGTTATCGTACGTGCGTCGCGGCCGACGTCTCGCGACGGAATGGCGTCCCACAGTCGCGCGCCTATTTATTAACTAACCACGCTTCGCTGTTTTGTTTATGACGCCGCGCGCTCGTATCAGTGCGGCCGGCCTACAGCTACAGTGGCGAGCGAGACAATCATTCGATAACAGCTTCAGATGATGCGATTTTGTAAGATCAGTGTCGTTACACTTTTTCGTCAACGCTTTCTATGTGTGCGGAAATGCATCTAATTATACCGGCACTTTGCTTTACATTTACAACTAGTACAACTACTTCGAATTGCCGTTTTGTGTTTTGCGTTTTTGTTAGGAAATAAATTGCTTTTCTATTTTTTTTAATAAAAATATTTTTTATTGAGTTTCCCGAAAATTTGATGATCATTACTTTCAACGACATTTCCAAATGGGAACCTTTTGAGCACTCCTGAACACGATAGCAGAACATAGACCGCGGCTATGTTTACATGATACATGCATAAACACAAACCGACGACCCTATAATCAAGTTTACTCAAAACTATGCCGATTTGCATAACATAATAAACAACAGAATGTCATTATCTTAATTATACTTACCTATGTGTTAGTAATGTATTAGGCTACATATGTAATTCATGTGAAGGAGAGCTTGTTGCCTGTCCACGATAAGCATCGCTCTTGAAGAAGATGTAAATAAATTATAATTTCAACTCTGCTGGTTTATCGAGACGGTTTTACCGACTACAAAATAGGACTAGGCACCGATTCATTTGTATTTTTAAGATACTAATATTTTAACCGTGATTGGGCAGAGATCTCTTGTTCCACCTGACGATAGGCGGTTCTTCTTCTTCGACTTTATCGTTCCCAAGCTAATGAGGATCGTGACCATAAGCATCAAGTCAATAAAGTATCGGGAATGAATGATTTCTTAATGGTTTCAAACTCATTATGTTTTGTGTAGCAGTTAGGTTGGCACAACTGCTTTTTTTTATTGAGTTTGGTTGCATCTGTTATTTATTAAATACAGTGCTGCTTTCAGTTATCCGACGAAACCTAAACCAAGACACCACGCCAAGTCAATCAAAAGATTCTTGCTAGAAGGTCAAACAGTAAATAAATCTATTATTTGAGGATTATTTGGCGTTCAACAGAGTAAAATCAACTTAAAAGGTCAGATTTATGGAAAAAAATCTCGGATTTTGCACCATAATAATGCACCTTCGCACTATGCCATTTCCATTAACGGTGCTTTTAGGCACCACAAGCACCGGTCACCGTCCTTGTCGAACCCGTCGCTTGCGACGAAGGGCTCGACGAGCGAATTAACCCATAGACACAGCCCACTGAGTTTCTCACCGGATCTTCTCAGTGGGTCGCGTCTGCGATCCGGTGGTAGATTCTGCGAAGCACGGCTCTTGCTAGGATTCATGTAGCAACGTCGTCATGTTGAGCCCCGTGAGCTCACCTACTATTTAAGGTGACGCTGATATAGCCTCTCAAGGTAACTTAGGTAGGTAGGTATAAAAAAACTGAACAAGTCCATCATTATAAATAAAATTTTGGACAAAAACCCAACAAGTATCGTCGAGCAACCACCTTATTCACCAGACATGGCTCCATCGGACTTCTTTCTTTTTCATAAACTCAGATTCACATTTCTTAGCACGCAGTTTTCATTTGATAGAAGACTTATAGCAGAATTTGCGCTGAAAAACTGGACTTGATTCCGGAAAAAAAATCGCTTAAAAAAATGTTTTGACAATTAAATTATTCGTTATTCGGTATGTCGTTTCTAAAGAAGCACTCAGCACTCTTTGAAGGTGATAAAATAAATTTGTATGAATAACTAACATTTTGTATATTATTAAACTTTTCCCTGTAGCTCCTAAGCAGAGTTATAAGATTTATCTACATCTGATAAGCGCTTACTAGAGCCCATAAACAAAAAACTCGAGTACTGCTAACGGCCTGAGGTCGCACTCTCCACTAAACCACTATCGCGGCAGAAATCGACTAGTTGCTATGGAACACAAAATTCAATCTATGGTTAAAGGGAATGGAAGGATGCTATTAAAATAAAAACTAAAATTACAAATTCGAAGAGTCCAGAATCATAGCTACTTTTGTCAAACAGGCGAACAGATTAGTAGTTAGTAGGCATAGTAATGACAGGTTCCGTAGCTATAGAGAATTTTCACGGTCAAAATAAAAAGTAAGTCACCAACGACCGGTACATTCTTATCGAGTATCAATTGCCGTAATGACGAACTGTATACGAAATCCTGTCAATTTCTCCTGCGAAACGTCCTGTGTCTCGACATTCAAAGATGGGCTAACAGTTCAGCAATACAAATGTGATTTCGATTGAGCGTCCCGGGATGGATGGCGACAATCAAGCTTGTGTTCTCGTCGCTTCGGTAACTCCGCAACAGGATATGTATTTTTGTTATCTCCTACCTGTTCGCCGGTAGCCTCAGAGTCTATTCTGACGGGTAGGTTAGCTCACGGGCTCAACCTGAGGGAATTTGCTAACACTAGCCCTAGCAAGAGCAGTGCTTCGCAGAATCTACCACCGGATGGGAATCGCGACCCACTGAGAAGATCCGGAGAGACACTCAGTGGGCTATGTCTATAGGGTTAGTTCGCTCGTCTAACTCTTCGTTGTAATCGACGAGTTCGACGAGGACAGTGACTGGTGCTTGAGGAACGGTATAACGTTTCATAGAATATGATCAAACCAAATTTCATTCCACACATGACAATGTCCCCTGACTACGGAACCCAAACTACTTGTGACGATAGCTATTATTTTCCACAAAAAATCATCCAGTCATCTAGTTAGATGCATTGATTCTAACAACAGGTTGTATAACAAAAACGAAGTTATAAGCCACGTGTGAGCACGCACGCTTCGATCGCGACGAAATGATCCAGCCAACCTCGCGCGGCAACGTAGTGTTTTGATAAATTTAATGGATTATCCATCGTTGGCATGAATCAAGATATAGTAAAAAATTACAAAATTAAAGCACTGTTGCTAATTTTAAATAGTAAACACATGGTTAAGAGAACGTGTGTGTACAAACGTCCTAACCTATAAAAGTAGGTATATTAATGCGTGAAGCAAAAACTTTGTATCCCTTTTTACGAAAATGGCACGGACAGAGGAGTATGAAATTTCTCACACCTAAAGAGACTATAGAGAAGAAATGCAGAATGCTAATTTTGTTTTTTAATTATGCATAAAAAATACATTAAATAAATAAATAAATATTACACACATTACCATGTACTAGATGATGACCGAGCTTTGGTCGGTTTTTTTTTTATAACGCCGTCTTGTTGTGTCTTTAAAGCGGTTAGTTGCCCTCAATTAAGAAAAATAGTATTATTATTCGCCAATAGATGTCGGGAAGAGTTGATTATTGAAAACACGAATAAAACAACATTTTCTGAAAATAAATCGTAGCTAGATCGATTTATCGCCCCCGAAATCCCCTGTATACTAAATTTTATGAAAATAGTAGGAGTCGTTTCCGAGATTCAGATTATTATATTATATAGGTATATATGTATTAAAATACAAGAATTGCTCGTTTAAAGGTATAAGATTTGACAACACACACAACGCATATAATTTATACTTTTTTTATTGTCTAGTCTGTAGTCAAATTGAGAATAGATTAATATTTTTGTCTTTAGTATTAGTTGTCTATAGTGTAGTATCGACGAAATCTGTGATTATAGAAATAAAGTATTTGACAATAGAATCATAATAATTTTCCAGCTTATAATTTAAATTAGTAATTATGGTCGAATTTTGACCGCTGGGTGACCACTAGTACAAATAGTTACATGTATTATGATACATATCACTAGGTCTCCACCCGCGGTTTCGTTCGCTTGGATCAGACTTACTCTTAAAATTTGGTTAACCATCGTTAGCCATATAGGCGTGCGAAAACTGCGCTATGAAGTAGGCAGTGACAGTGACAGTGACCGGTATTACCCCTGGTAGTGCTTACGTCCATGAGAAACGGTTACCACTCACCGCTAGATGGGCCGTCTGTTCGTCTTCTAACAAAGGCAAAAAAACAGCTTTGTTTATTTAACACCGTCATTGTTCAGTCATTATATATACTCACAATTCATATACACACATACACAATAATTGTTGGTTTATCTCTTACATTATCTCGCTCTATCTGTTAGTGGAAACCGTATCAAAATCGGTTGTGTGACTTCGATAAGTGAACGGAGAAACAAATGAAGTCAAAAAGGGAAATTTAAACTTTATATTTAAGAAAATTTATGTGTTTACAATTACATTTTTTACTGGACGTCTTGTGAGTCCGCGCGGGTAGGTACCACCGCCCTGCCTATTTCTACGGTGAAGCAGTAATGCGTTTCGGTTTGAAAGACGAGGCAGCCGTTCTACTGTTAAAAGTGAGACCTTATGACTCATATCTCAAGGTAGGTGGCGGCATTTACATTGTCTATGGGCTCCGGTTACCACTTAACACTAGTTGAGCCGCGAGCCCGTCCACCCGTCTATGTTATAAAAAATTAATAAATTAGGAAATAAAATAAATCTAAATATCTAATAATAATATTCAGATTTATTTGATTTCATGTATAAATATTACATTTTATTTGATGAATGTTGTTTTTTCCTGATGTATGTATTTTTGTTATTGTAATTTAAAATTAATAAAGTAATAGTCACATGCTATAGATATAAAATTATGAGACAAATAGTTGTTTTTTAGTAGGTGTTTATTTTAGATGATTTTACAGATTTCATTTTAATACACAGTTTTTTCAACATATAAACCATGGGCACGTGCCCAGTGGTGTCTCTTCGTACAGCGCGTACAATAGAGTTACATCCGAATAACTGTTATCCAACCATTGAAATCTAATAGGGATATCTGAGAATCTTAAGTCCGCACGGGCAGGTACTACCACCCAGCGTATTTTTACCGTGAAGCAGTATGTGTTTCGGTTTGAAGGGCGGGGCAGCCGTTGTAATGTAAAAACT